TCTATAGAGCACAATCAATGTCAAGGATTTTCTATTGTATTTAGAAAATTTCAACTTTGGAAATAGACTTCTATTACAGGGTGGATTTATACTTAATCGAAGAAGAAAAGTTAGTCATTTTTCATTTATCTGAAGCATATTTTCTCACAAGAATGAGACAGTCATTTATACGCAAACTTCTGCCTCAGTTATTATTCTTGTAAAAAACAAAGTTTTAAAAAAATGAAATGATGAGAGACTTTATTAGCTTAAATAGAAATATGAATTAATCTTTCTCTAAAAGATGAAACATTTCACAAAATTAAAAATGATCAATTCAAATAATCTAATGATTTATATGACTCAAGGAAACTATAATTGCTTTATTGTCTTACCAATGACTTACGTTATATAATTATCTATCAAAACGATTAAAACTAGTGTGTTTTATCCGGGATTTATGTCTTTGCTGGATCCCACGCTCTGAAGTTGAGATCCAGCATACCCCGAAATCCTGGGAAAAATATTGATTATAACATATTTTCTTTCATCTTTGAACTATGCTTAAATCTCTCAAAGGTAAAAGGTTCTTCAAGCCAAAATATTTTATTAATCATGATTTTTTGTATCTATATCAATCTTTGTGGAGTGTTGAAGATCGATTAAGATTTAGATGTGCAGAACACTGTAACAAAAACACAATTTTCTAGTTATTCGATACTTTGAAACTGACAAGCAATCATTGATTATTCAGTAAACTATTATCGTTCTTATTAGAATTTCTTTCCAACATCTAATTTGTTATTCTTAATCACCTCTATGCTTATAATCTAATAAAATCCAAATTGTCACAAGAAAAAATTTGATCGCACTAAATTACAATCCTACTTTAAATCTTATATCTTTTTAATCAAATTCGAATTCTATTCTATGAGAGGTGAGTATTGAGAATATATATGTGAAGAACTATCTCACATTACGTTCAAGAGCTTTTTGTTCTGTGTTTTCGTCTTCAAGTATCGAAAGAAACTGAAAAATACAATAAAATTCTACTGTCATACATGAATATGTAATATCTTCTGATATTGATTAGTATAGAACCATGATAAATTACTTAATTGAATCATTCTTAGTACTATCAACGCTTTAAGAGCAGCCGATGAGCATATACATGTCGAAAATCATATTTTGGATAACTTGAAATATTCCTTAATTTTTGTTGCGAAAATTAATCACCAAGAGCTAATTTTTGTAAAGTAATATCTTATGTAGCATTGGAGGAATAAACTAAATTTTCGTCTGTTATTCATAATTAGCGCCATTTGAGATCGCAAGATATGAGAGCAAGTTATTTATTTCCAATATATATATATATTTATGTAACTTCCGAATAAGAGATAATCAAACAGACGAAGCTCTCCGACGTCGTCTCGCGCTGTTGCAGGTGTGGGCGACAGTAGAGTATGAGTCACTCTCGTATTCACATCCCATACTTCATCAAAACCCAAGACTTCTGGTGCATACTTGTGTTTAATATGTACTAGCATATTCAAATATGAATTCTTTGCAAAAAGAAACAAATAAATAATCTTTTGTTCTATAAAGTATCGCTATTTTATTTTTTACTTTAAAAAAAGATCATAAAATGAGAAAAGTTAGTTCAGCACTCCCCCACCGTCAGAAAAATTGTATATACACAGTATTAGCTCTCAAAAAAAAATTCATTGCACCCCACCTCCCCCACTTTTCTCTTTGCAACATCCGTGCATTTATATTATTTTTTTACTCTTTACAAAGCGTTTTTTAAAACAAATATAATTCAATATTTGAGAAATATGAGTATATTAAAAAATAATAAAATTATTTTCTAGGAAGTTGTGATACGTCAATGGATCTAAATAAAAGTTACTCGACAAACTTTGATTTGTCCACGGCAGACATAGATCTATTAGTCAATTTTGATCTTTTTGGATCAAACCTAACTGTATATATGAACAACAACAACAAAATTTTCACGATAAAGTCTGGATTACTATTTCTAAATCTACGATAGATAAGCTACCGTTTGATATAAAATTAATTTCTACATATCTTATGATTGAAGAGAGTTAAATTTTTATAAAATGGTCCCTACAAGAGCCAAATGGTACGCAAAAGTTAAAGTGAAAAAAAAAACAATATTTTGTGAATTATACGATAGAATACTTCTTGTTCTTTACTTTAACTATTTGTTGAATATCTAATTTATTAAATCAATTAATTTTCAAACATTCACAATTTTGTAAAAACGTATAAACACATTTTTTCTTTTTTTATTTGTAGGCATCAAATGATCTAAAACAAAGTGCACTAAGTACTGTTCAATGTATTGAGTTTCGTATTCCCAGTTGCAATTATGACTCCAATGATTCAATTCATGTTGGCTAAAATCTAATACCTTTTCTCAGTACTTATATGCCTCATTTACAAATCGTACGCCTGTGGCGACCCGATGACTTTCCTTGGACATCTAGTAAGTTTAGTTTCGATGAAAATCTATTGTCAATAAATTTTCAGTAATTCTATAAGTTACATTTTTCTCTTGTTTTGCTATTTCTGAATCTGAATTAAGATTTTACTGTTTAGCTTCGTATTTCTGTATTATAAAATAATATTGATAATCGAAATTTTTCATGAAATATTATCAAATTCTAATAAATTTTTCTTCATTGATATAATTACTCATATCTCTTGGATTGATTATAGAAACATTCTAATACTGATCTAAATAATGAATTGTTTGGTAAACATCCAACCATAATACCAGTTATTGTTAATAATAATGGTGGATCAATATTCAAATCTCGAAAAATAGTCGAAGCATTTATACGCCTGTACATCCTGTCGAATTGTAAATGCCAGCTTGATGCACACAATTATTGTTTGTTAAGCAAGAACACATGCTATTCAAAGTTTTGTATTTAGCTGGAATAAATTTATTAGTTGGAGCTCTAGGTACAGCTTGAATAAAGTAGTTTGTTCGCAATCCTAAATAGATTCGATTTTCAACAATATTAAATAAAAGAAAGTCATTTATATGCTTGATATTTGCAATAATTGTTGATTTTAATTGTTCGACAAGTGCTGCAATTTGAGCATTAAAAATACTATGTGACAAAACTTGATTAGTGACGATTTTTCTGGTAGTAAACTCTTCCAAAGCATCTGATATCATTTCTTTTATTGTTCGACAAAGTAAAGCAATTAATTGAAAATGAGATACTGCCATAATACGATAATCTAATGAATAACAGTCACTCATTTTGTCATCATATAAAGATGAAATAAATGTTTGATTAACAAATTGACTTGTACATATTGGACGATAGTATAAATCTAATAAAAGAAATTGATCATGACGAATCGAACTTTGTGTACATGGACATGAAAGTGTTGTTGGATATTGAAGAGAAAGTTTTTCGAAAGTAATTTCAATTGGTGAATGAATACTCACAGTATTGTTTGAACACTGAAAGCAGTGAAAACAATAACAAAACCGAGGATGATGATCAATAAAGAGAGAAACATTCTTGTAGCTCGTAATTGATCAACAAGTGATAATTCTTCTTTATCATTGAAAAGATTTATATTGATTAAAAAATAATACAATTGTTTGCATTTACTCACTCGCTCGTGAGATGTTGTTTCTGCCATTTTAGAAACTACACAATAGTGTATTTAATTTAGAGTTATGATGCACAATTGTTGAGAAATTGAGAAAAAAAAATGTGGTTGTTGTAAAATAATACAATAGGAAAATCTAAGAATATGTTTCTGCTCCCTATTTGTTGGTTCAAAATTATTATTATGTAAAAGCTCGATTCAATTAGTTAAAAGGTTATATGATATAATAAGACTTTTTATCAAAGTTCACTTTCTTCTGATCATTTTTCTTGCTTTTCAGTTAATTATCATGTTATATGCTGAGATATATTTAAAAACCTCCTGTGTATTTGCGAGAAATTGTTTTAAAATCGTTTTTACTTGTAAAATATTTTTCACATCGTTGTATTGGAGGATATAGGACAAGAGTACGAATAAAAAAGTGCGCATCGCAAACACAACCATGAAAACAGAATTGAGTTTAACGTTTTGAAGTAAAGCATAGATGATCATGCTTAAATTTCATTCTTGTAGATACTCACATACGACATTATTGCATGTTCAGACAAGACATTATTCGCCTATGAGCATTAAATTATTTGTTGTGTGTATACTCAAAGTGACTAGAACTTCTTTAAATCCTGCATGTCAATAAAAAACACTTACAGATACTCCAAAAAGTATCCGGACACTTTAGATCACTCTCACCCTTTTTCAAAACCGACTTTGCTTCAGACAAATGCAAATTGCATGAAATTTTTAGATCTATAAAATGACATTTGAGAGAAATATTCATTAAACGAAAGTCAACAATAGCTTATTTAGCAAGCCAAATTTCTTTGTGGACTTTTATTGTATACATTTGAGGGTTTTTTTTTCGAAAAAGCATGTCTGGATGAAGTGCAGAAAAGGCATGACAAGTTCAGTAACTAAAAAAAATGTAAGTGTTTAGCATTGTTGAACTCTGTCATGCGCTGGATCCTGTCATGCTCTTTATTTGTTGAATATCTCCTGAAAATATTGTGTCATATGACTAAAAATTTTACTATAGCCTCTCTATTACAGCTCTAATATATCCTGGAAATTTCATGCGACATGAATCCACTTGGCCCAACTTTGTTTTCTTTTTGAGAAAGAGCTTAATAATGAGACTCAGCTTCCCAAGATTATGACTAATTTTCAAAGAGAATTGCAAAATTTCAACTTTTCTTTTTGGCAAGACTATATCTTACATGATTTTTTTCTATTGTCATCTATTATCGATAATTGATTAGTTTTTTCATAAAGATTATTCGACAATTGATCTTCTAATACGTACAGTATTTAACAAAAATACTCTGTTAAGCTTTGATTTAAATCTTTGTTCAAATATGATACGCATATTTATTATAATACCACTGATTCATAAAAAAACAACAATATTTCAATCATATATGCAAATGAATATTCAATAGCTTATTTTAATTAAATTTACTCTCGATAACAATATCTTTTATTCGAGCACCGTTTTGAAACAGCATATTTGTTTTTTGACTTATGTAAATTAGAATAGTTCATTAACAAATCAATAAAATCAATTTGTATATGATTTTCTTTCAATTCATACTTTAGAATATTCGAACTAAATGTTCTACTAGATGAACGATTGATAATATTGATATGTCCATAATAAATTTTAGAGTGTTAACAATAACTATCTACTTAAATTTAGATTCTCATGTTAAATTGACTTAACTATCTCAACCACTTAATGATGAACATAGGGCGTATCATGTAGTGTGATTTTTATATAAAGTGATTGAAAAAACAATCATTGGATAATGTATGAATTTAACAACATGAACGACAATAATTTTTTTTAAAACGAAGCATTATTAAACAAAAAAACAATAAAGTAAGTCATACTATTTCGTAAAATTAAAATTTCTTTTTGAATTAAGATCAAAATATAAAGAAAGACAAACAATTAAAGTGGCAACAATGTTTCTATATAAGGGTGTGGGTAGAATAGAAACCTCGGTTTCATTCACATCAACATTCAAAATTAAACAGCGAACCACCAAGAACAATCCACGCATAGACCCGCAAGATTAAGAGTGCAATAATCTCAAAGCTTTGAGGCTTTGTTTTGGATTTGGTGTCGAATAACTCAAATCTCCAAGGATTTGGTAAGATCAGGTAACATTAGATACGATCTACTTTACTAGAGGTGCGGCATAACCAGAAAAGATGTTAGATAAAATCTTTGATATTTGGATTGGAACTTAGTGTTGAACAAAACTAATCTAAATAGTTTGCGTTTTAATAATGTTCATCAAATAGCAAAATGTTTATGTAGATTTAGTTCAAACTCAAATTCATGCTCTGGATCTAAACCTACATCCAATCTCAAGGTTCTTGATGCCAAATCTATGCTAGATTTGTTACACTCTTACTGCAGACTCACGTCCTTTCTTATGAAGATTTTGCCTTTTCCTTTTCGTCCACAAAAAATTTTTCAATTTGACTGAATTTCAATTTCGACCACAATATATAATTTTTGTATTAATCATCGCTTCATCGATTTTGTTTTGTATCATTCTATGAGTTATACACAGCAAAGAATTTCTACTTTTAATAATAATGATATTGTGATCATTATAACATACTTAACTAAATAGAAAATTTTCGACTATTAAAATTCATCATTTATTATAAAAAATTCAGAGATTATATTGATAAATATCTGGCCTTTCATTACAGACATGAGACTTCATAATTTAATATTTTACTAAATCTTACTTGAGAATCTATTGGAATTCTATGCTATGAATAGTGATAAATTGAAAATACATAATCTTTTTGAATAAAGCTCAGATAATTTAACATAGACTCGTTTTGTATGGAACTTTTCTTCATTCATATCGATTCGTTAACTTTTAATTAGTATTTAAGAGAAAATAGTATTCTAAAATTAATTTTTTGTTTATTTTTTTCTCTTGGAGATTAACGAAAATAATTCAAATTATTTTAACAAGAAAAAATTTTCAGCATAATCTTTATAAAAATTGAAATAAGATTTTAAATCTTCTTTTGGTATACTTCATCTAATACGTAATAACGTCACTTTTTTTCCAGTTAAATAATCGCCTTAATTTTTATGTTAAAAAACATTAATATACTAAACATAAATGAATACGATAAAACTGATAAGGTCAAATAGAACAGAAGTCTGGCGTACAACATGTGAGGATAAAACAGATGGTATCGATTTTATGATCGAACAGAGGTCTGATATTTGTGGTAGAAAAAAAAGATCTAAATATTTTGAATGTTTGTGAATACTACAGTTGAGAATTAACAAATAGAGCATGATGTAGCTGTGCAATTGAATATTTGACTGTTTTTTTTTTATTTTATTTTTAAAATAAAATTACTAAATTTAATATTGTTGATGGCCGTAATAATGTACTATTGCAAAATCAATCTTTTATTGTCAGATATTTAATCCGATAAACAGAGTTATTGAAAAATAATTAGATATAATTAAGTAATTTATTTTTCAGTTTAATGACCAGTTTTAATCAATATAGTATTTAGTACTTTATAATGTTTATTTAAAAAAAAAAAATTTTTCATATTTCATTCTTTCTTCTCAAATATGCTGAAAATTAATTATATTTATAAAACTAAATCTAAGAAATTTCAACGATAAACACTAAATTTGTATCAATAAAAAACATTTGGTTATTATTATCATCGTTTTTATTAATGAATTAAGCAGGCAGCGTGGCCGAGCGGTCTAAGGCGCCGGTTTAAGGCACCGGTCCGAAAGGGCGTGAGTTCGAATCTCACCGCTGTCACTCCTTTTTTTTTTTGTCCTAATTACAATCCATCAAAAGTAGTCATTTTTACAAAAAAAAAATCATAAAATCGATTTAATCAAATTTTTGAGCTAGTAATCATACTTACACACACACGATTAATTTATTTAGAAACATTTGTTGAAAATAGTTTTTGAATCAATTTGATTACAACACTCAATACAACTATTATAAACTATTTTGATCGATGTAATATTGTTGAACACGATTGACTGAATATATATATATATATATATATAGAACACATCCAGTGGCCGTAAGTGACCAATTTTACATATATTACACATTAATCAATTCAAATTCTTTGAACTAGAAGGATTACAAACGAAGAATTTTCAATAACTACAGTTTGACGGAGGAAGTTAGTCTTAAAAATGTTTCATTAATAATGATAAGTCAAGAATTTGTTAAACTACTTATTACTGCAATAAGAAAGCGAAGATCATCGGCTAGTGCGAAGATATTGAAATTAATTATCGTCATGTACAACTATATATTCATAGGTATTTTTTTCTTATATCGCATGAGAACGTATCATAATTATATTCTATGAATAAAATATTACATAGTTTTTAGGTAGTCTATCTAATCGACAAACTTAATCTATCAAATGACTCTCATTCATTATCTTTAGTATTATAATCAATATGATGAGTTGTTCAATAAATATTTTTAAACAATGTGATTGTGCATGGGTAAGCATGATTACTAGCTGAAAAATTAGCTGGGACAAAAATCTGACTGATTCTATTTTATAGAAGTTTATAGGAAAAATCACTGCTTTTGACATGCCTTAAGTATATCATTTTATAAAAAATGAATCAAATGAAATTTTACAATTCACTTTGTTTTACTACATGGATTCAAAACAGGCAGCGTGGCCGAGCGGTCTAAGGCGCCGGTTTAAGGCACCGGTCCGAAAGGGCGTGAGTTCGAATCTCACCGCTGTCACTATTTTTTTTCTCCTATATCATCCTATACAAATCTATCATATAGATTATTTTCTTTGTTTTTTATAGGTAATGATTTAAGTAAAAATTATTTTCAATTTACACAACAACTTTAAAAGTATATTTTAATCGTTATTAATTTATTTTTATTTAAATTAGTGAAATTAGTTTAGATATTTTGTCGATGTTTCTGTAGCACTACTATCATTATGAGGAAAGATACACCATGAGTTATAAGACATCTGCAAGTGGTAAAGAGCGAAAGGAAAATCAGTCATCGTTCAGTTCCTCCAATCAAAAATCAAATAAATACCTCTATTCATAACACTAGCTCTGTCTATGACATCGGCATTTGTTGAGTTTCTAGTTAGAGAAACTAAAAGAAGACTAATTTTTCTTTTAAACTAATAACAGTTGACTAAGTATCAGATTGAAACTGAAACGAACGAATCATTGATTGGTTGTCTCTTGATGCTCTATATTCCAATAAATGTTCGTCCATGTTTTATCTTCATTTTTCCAAATTGCTACTAAAAAATATAGTGAAAGTACATGATTTTAAAACATTACATTGGATGAATTATCATCTGGGTCTTTTTTGTATAATTCATAAATCAATCTTGAAATTTATTCTACAAGAATATATTTTTCTAGGAACTGTTTTGTCAAAGAATTTCTCAAAAACTAAATTCTTGTCATTCTGTTATTCAATTTTCCGTTTGTTTTAATACATAGTAT